ATATGAAATAACGAGGAGGAAGAAGATTAGTGTTTGGCTTCACACTTGTATTAAGCACTTCACATGCAACATCTTCGTAGACTTCTCAAATCCCTTGATTTGAAATAACATGGCCTCAGTTTCCAACTCACCTAACATGCACTCAAATGTAGTTCTATACCTAAATCCCTGTATGTTTAATAATGACCGACTTCGCGAATGCTATTGATATGAATGAGCTGAAAGAGTTGTGATGCGGAACAGACAAGATAAACTTTGATTTGAATCTAAATTTGAGAAATTAGTTGAAAAAACTCGAATGAACAGTAAACATGCTTGAATTGTGCTTGGGAGAACAATACCAGCGAACCATAACCTTTGTTTTTTAATTGAATTAAAGTTAATCAAAAGAAAGATAAAAGAACGGGAAAAGGTAGATAGGTTGAAACATAAAAGAATGAAGAAAGGTAGACAGGTTAGATCAGATTCGCTAATAGACAACTACTCTGTAGTTAAGCTGAATCGACAAGCCGAATTGACACACATATACTTAATTGTTGCGGTTTCACATTGAGAAACAATGGTTTCACACCTTAAAAACATCATACAAGATATTTTTCATCTATTTTTTATTCAATATCAATCTTCAAAATGATTTCGCCATTTCTGTGCTTTATAGCCAATACTACCTATCCCGAGCCAGGATAAAGGAGGTTGCAATAGGTAGCCGGCATGCAGTGTAAAACATAGTCGAATTCACATGACATGAGTTCTACTGAATATTTGTTGGGCTGTCCCCAACAAGACGCGTAACATCGATGCTACGCAGATGCAATGATAAGTACGTAAGAGTGGTTTGCTAGGGCGTTTCCTTGAAGGCATGCGTTAGATTGATGTCACCCCGATGTAATGACTAGTAAGCAAATGTGTTTTAAGAAACTAAGGGTGCGTTTGGTTACCATTGCGTTTCTCTTGTTTTCGTTTTGTTTAAAAAAAAAAACAACAAACGTTTTGGAATCCGCCCTTGTTTTCAGTCCAAAACGCCAAACAACGCCCAACTTTCAACGGGTTTCTCAAAACAATAAAAAAGCTATTTTAAGGTCGTTGTTTTCATTTCCCCCAAAAAATCTTCCAAACTCAGATCTGAGCGTCGCCCTCACCCAAACTCAAATCGCCGCCGCCCAAAGCCCAAATCACGTCGCTGATCTGCTTGCCGTGAGCGTCGCCTTTCGCGCTTCTGGTCGTCGCCGTTCTCTCCGCCTTCGTCGGTCGTCCGCCGTCGCCTCCAGCCCCCAGAGCAGTCCCTCTCCAGATCCCCCAATCCACGTCGCCGTCGTCGCCTTGCAGCAGCATATCGCCGTTGTCCAGATCGTCGCCGTCGCCAGCTTCAGATTTGGACCCTTCCGTCGTCGCTTCCAGATCTCGTCGCCGTCACGTCGTGGTCGTCGCCGTCGCCTAAGCCCCAGATCTGACTTCCGCCATTGCCGTCGCTTCCAGTTCTCATCGCCGTCTCCCCTAGATCCCGTCACCGGTGATCTCAACGCACTGTAAGCATTATTTTTGTCTGATCTGATTAATTTTTCTTTTTTTGCTGAATATATGAATTGTTTTAGAATTTATTCAATGATCTCTTGTTCTGATTATCAACTCTTGCAAATGCAAGTCTCCTAATCCCTTTGTCCTGCTCCTTCGCCAAGTTTGTGTTGACGATCTCATGAATCCTATATGATATAGGTAGTCTCTGTTGTTCAAGCATTAAGTGAGCAAAATAAACTTCCCAAGTTTAAACTAACATTTACATATGATCAGTGAAAGTGGTAAAAAATGATTATAGACCAGTGAAAAATGATTATTACTCGGTTCTCATATGAATCCACATGGTACAAAATTATAGCTCAGGTTTAATGCTTCAGAAACCCATAAATATTGATAAGTTGTTTTTTTCACATAAGCCTAACGAGAATTATAGTAGTGTGGAAAATTTTGGAAACCTTATGGCTTTCTCTTCATTAATGTACAGAAATTCTTCCATTCTCAAAATATGATTAAATGATCCAGAGAAGCTTTGCGCAATACGAACATGCCCTCATAGTGATATTAGTTGAAATGGATCATTGCTAACTAGTGTTTCAAAACCACAATGGTGTTTTCAAAATACTTTGGGAGAAAAACCAAACACCAATGTGTTTTTTTTAGAAAAACACAACAAAAACACCTTGGCTTTAAAATTCTATAATAGATTAGCAAATAATATTAGGCAGAGAGTTAGAACGTCATAAGGGAGAAAAGGGAAGAGACTTTTACAAGATAATGTAATTCGACTAGCTACTTGAAATATAGGTATACTTAGTAGAAAGACGACAAAATTAATAGATATAGTGATTAGAAGAAATGTCAGTATAATTTATTTACAAGAATTAAATGGATATATGAGAAATCTTTAGAAAGTGAAAAGACCGAATATAAACTTTGGTATATGGGAAAAGAGAAGAATAGAAACATAGTGGCATATTGTAGATAATAAATAAAAGATTGTTATAGATGTAAAAAGAGTTGAAGATAGAATAATACTAGTATAAATTATATTAGGCATAGAGGTTATTAATATTGTTAGTGCTTACACACCATCGGTAGGGTTGCTTGAGAATGCTAAAGGAGAATTTTGGGATAACTTAGATGAATCGGTAAAATAAATTTCGGTAGGTGAGAATTTGTTTCTAGGAGGAGACCTTAATGGGTATGTCGTCGGCAAGGATAATAATAGGTATGAGAGTATACATGAGAGTTTTGAACGATATGGGGGAAATGAGTTTAGATTTTGCAATGTCGTATGATTTGATAGTAGAAAATGCACAATTTAGAAAAAGGGATCAATATTCATAATAAGTTAGCCAATGCTATACGTTATAGCCAATACTGTCCGTCCCTAGTCAAGATAAAGGAGGGTTATAATGGCTAACTGACAGTCAGAATAAAACATAGTCAGATTCACATCACATAAATCCTATCGAATATTAGTTAGGGCATCCGCAATACAACCTGTTGCATCAATGCCATCCGGATGCAATAATAAGTACATAAGAGTGGTTTGCTAGGGCGTTTCCTTGAAGCGATGGGTTATATTGATGTCACATCGATGTAATAAATAGTAAGGGTGTTTTAGGAAACTATAATTCTCCAGTAGGTTACCGAATAGTATTAGGCATAGACTAGAATTTCATAAGAGAGAAAATGGTAAGAGAATTTTACAAGATAATATAATTAAGTTAACTACTTGAAATATAAGTATGTTTAGCAGAAAGACGATGAAATTAATAGATATAATGATTAGAAGAAAGAACAATTTAATCTGTTTATACATGAATAGGTGAGAAAGCTTGAGAAATTGAAAAGACCGGATATATACTTTGGTATACAGGAAAAGAGATAATAGACATAGAGTGAGAATATTCTAGATAATATAATAAAAGATAGTGTTGTAGATATAAAAAGAGTTGGAGATAGAACAATACTAGTAAAAATTGTATTAGGCGTAGATATTATTAATATTATTAGTACTTATGCACCATCAATAGGGTTGTTTGAGAATATTAAAGGGGAATTTTTGGATAACTTAGATGAATTGATAAAATGAATTCTGGTAGGTCAGAAATTGTTTCTAGGTGGAGACCTTAATAGGTATGTCGACATGGATAATAATGGATATAAGAGGATACATGAGAGTTTTGTGTATGAAGATAAGAATAATATGGGAGAAATAAGTTTAGTTTTTGCAATGCCATATGATTTAATAGTAGCAAAAACACAATTAAGGAAAAGGGATAAACACTTAATAGCCTTTAAATGTGGATCTAATTGTAGTCAAATAGAATTTTCTTTTACTAGAAAGGTGGATAGGTTAACATGAAAATATTATAAAAATATAACCACATAGCATAAGTTGATGGTATTAGATATTTCTATTAAGAAGTGGGGTGGAAAGATTGATATGAACAAGAGTCTAATTACTAAATGGTTGAACTTATAAGGAGAATTTTGGTGC